TAGGTTGGAAGTAACTTTGACTGGATGTTTAGCACCTCTGGTAGGTTTGTTTAGGTCTGCAGACACTGCGAAATACTTGATTTAGGGTTAGGCTGTGAGGATGGTGTTGTGATTTAGCACACAGCATGACAGTATTTCTCAGAGAAAGCTCCTTCATCAGTGATTACTGTTGTCTGGTCTTTCATTCACTGCGCTGGACATAAACATACTGACGGATCGAGTCTGCTCTTTCACCGTGGCTCAGTTTTACAATAGAAAGACTTATAAGAAATTTTCTTCCCAGGTTTCTGATAATGTTCTCTCTTTTTTTCCATTGCAAATGTTGTTAAAAATAAGTAAGCATTGTGCTGTATTTTAAAGATGTCTAATATGTTAATTGGTTAATTGTGAAACAGATTGTGAACCTTTGATAATTGTAAGATTTTCTGTCATCCCTCACTCCTTCATTGATTCATTTTCCCATCGCTCATGTGCTGAAACCAGCAGGTTTTGGTCCAGTCTGCTAGATTTGAGTCTTTCTGTTAGTTTCTCTGTCTGTCTCTCTCATTTCTCATCAGCTTCGTCAATCAGCGCTGAGATGTTTGGTCGCTGCGTGATGCTCTCATCGTTAACATGTCTCGTGTCAATTAGAGTCAGAGCGGCCGAGTGTCCATCACTCTGTGGGAGGGAGAGAGAGAGACGGTCAAAAGCCTCTGTAGTTTTGGTGATTTATACATTCATAGGTTCGTCACTCGCCGTTCAGACAAGACACATTAGTCTTCATTCCCCTGATTCCCAATAATGTCTTTATAATAAGCCCATATTAGAGAGGAGTTCCACAATCTACCCAGAGCACTTCCCGTGCTAATTTATTAGAGTCCAAGTGTGTAGAAAGACAGGAGAGAGAGCAAAGTCCTTCGGCTGTGTTCAAAAACTGCCTACCTATATGTATATACAGTGTGTGTGTGTGTGTGTGTGTGTGTGTCTGTGTGTGTGTCTGTGTGTGTCTTGTGTCCATAAACAATGTCTGGATAAATGGTGCCATAATTTGATGTTTTAATGTATTCATGAGAAATATTGGAGTTTCACTGATGTGAATAGATCTATACATTTTTTGATAGAAAAATAAATAAATAAATACAATACAAATATGCTGTAACCCCCCCTAAAAATGTTATTTTAAAATAAATAAATTGAATAAAATTTTTTATTAATAATAACAATCATCATCGTCATTTGTAATATCAATATTCATAATATTCCGACAAATAAGTATTATTATTATTTGTCTTAATATTATGAATATTGATGATGATGATGATGATGATGATGGTGGTGGTAAAGTATTATGTTATTGTTTTGTTTTTATGTTTTACTACTACTAGTACTACTACTGATAATAATAAATTATTATCTCTGTCTAGAAATGTAGGAACTACCTGTTGCATAATCATTTTGAGTCCTTTGTTTTGATATTAAGCTGCGATACATCAAAGGCACAATATGTAATTTTTCACCGCTAGAGGGCGCGCATTGTAAACAAAGGCGTAGTTAGATGACACCGTGACTGAGTGTGGAATCATGGGAGTTGTGGTCTTCATCCCCACAGCCGACGCAATCTGACGGGACTCGGGCAGAAATCATGTTCATGGATGAGCTAATGATTTATTAACGTAACAGAATGAAGCAGGGTGAGGCTGAAAGCCGTCGAAGCGAAACGAGGCCGCTGAACGAGCGCGACACACGGCTGGAAAGCAGCGGAGCTTTTATTATGCCACAGTCGAGCGCTTCCGGTCGTGAGTATGTGGGGTAAAGCAGCGCTGTTTTATCATACTAGATACGTTTGAAAGTTCTGTTATAATGCTACTCTGTGCGGTCATCACTGGTCTATTAAAACACACAACATATTAAAGCACCTTTGTTGTTTCCATGTTTTCTACAAAACAAAACCAGAAATCGAGGGGTTATGACGTCATTAGCAGGCGACACAATAGACACGGTCTGTGTCACTAGTTAAAATTGCTTATTTCTCTGAATTTAAACATTCTTCGAAACATTTGGGAGTCAGCAAGTCAGCAAAATATATAACACTGTTCTAGTGGTTTTTGGATATTTTAATAAATTTTTTTTACATATTGTGCCTTTAAGCGATTTTTTGCACTGACTTGCTATTCCTTTATCATTTATCTGATCTTTTGATTTGTGTCCATCAAGATAAGATTAAGTACTTTTTGAAGTATATTATAACAATGAAGTGCATTGAAGTACTTACAAGTAATTACATATTACATATTTAATTGTAAATGTTGTGTTATTAATCAATGTTATTAATTTTAAGTGTTTTTTAGTAAAAACAGCCCTATGTATCAGGCGAATTAAGATATATATAATAAAATATATTTTAAAAATATTATTAATAAATATTATATATATATTAGTATTAGTATTTTATTATTAATAAATGTTACTGTTTTTTTAACTAAACTAAACTAAACTGGCAGCTATGGCTGCCAAACAAAAAACGAAAAATTACAGTAAAATATCTTAACTGAAATAATTTACAGAAATTTTCATTTAAGGTTTTACAGAAAAAAACTGTTATTTTACAGATTTTCCCTTGTTTCAATTACGATATTTTACTTTAATTTTACGTTTTTTTTATTTTACGGTCATTTCACCATTTTTTAAGGGACTTTTTTTTTTTACAGTGTACATATATATATTATATAGAGAATGTATATAAAGATTATTATTATAATTAACCATTTTTAGTTGAATTATTATTGAATTTATATTATTATGTACTGTATTGTGATATATGCATTTCCATTATGTCAAATGACTCATATCAGCACTAGTGAAGGCCTGTATTTCTGCAATAAACTGTTCTTACATAAGGCGACTGAGTTAGTTGGGTGACGTGTCACAGATTGTGGTTTTTCTACAGCCTTAATTCAATATCCGTCTAGTATTGACAATGCTCTGGTGAGCTGGGCTTTAATTTCCTCCTGTTTTTAGTCAAGGGGACATGCAGCCACCAAGTCCCCAGCGTCCAGAGAGAGAGGACAGTCTTGTTCTTGACATCCATGAGATTTAGTTTCCCTAGCTGAATGCCAGAGACCCGAGACGTGACCCTGAATCATCCCGACGAGAGCGAGGTTGGCAAAAGTCCTCTCAGGATCTGCCATGGTTTATCGATGAGGCCTGCGGCTGCTCGCCAGCTTCCCTGAGGGGTAATTGGTGGTCCATGATTGTCCCGGTCCTATAACATAATGCCAGAGATCAGATTCAAACAAGCACGTCATCAGTCAGCAGGGAGGCGAGCAGACAACAAATGCACCGCGGGCCCACACAAACTGTGAGATTATCGTAAAAAAGTGTGCTTGATTTGCTCTGTTTAGTATTTTAAGCCACTTACCATTATTTGTTAGATGTCAGCAGGGTTTAAAATCAACACTCAGCCAGTGCCAAACACCAGAAAAGAATAACTTTGGTTAATTTCACCTTTGTTTTATAGGTAACACTTACAATGGGGTTTAATTTGTTAACATAAACAAACAATGGCAATAATTCTACAGCATTCATTGATGTTCATTTCAACATAAACTAATGTATTTCTACAATTTTACAATTGCATTTGTTAACATTAGTTATAGGAATAGTTCACCCAATATAATCATTATTAAAAATGTCATCACCCTTAGGCCATCCAAGATGTAGATGAATTTGTTTCTTCTTCAAATTTGGAGAAATGTAGCATTACGTCACATGCTCAGTGAATGGGTGCCGTCAGAATGAGAGTCCAAACAGCTGATAAAAACATCACAATAATCCACAAGAAATCCACAGCACTCCAGTCCATCAGTTAACATCTGGAGAAGTGAAAAGCTGTTAATTAAAATACTTCCTCCGGTGAAAAAGATATCTTGTCTGAATTAGGAGAGAAATCTGCACAGAAAAAATCTGCATTCACTGTTTACAAGCCGAAACAGTTCTAAACACTGTTTAGTGTTTGTCTGTTTAGTTACTGTCTAATGTTTTTGGATTTTGATGTGAGAGGACAACACAGGATAGACTTTTTAACTGGTGGAAGTGTTATTATGCACTGAAAAAAATGATTCATTGAATTTACAAATTTTTTTTAAGGTAAGTGTTTGCATTCCATTTATTTTAGCTACATTTAAATAAATGCATTTAGTTGACTACCTTTCAACATTTTTTTGAAATGTTGCTCAAATAAATTGTTTGCAACCACTTAACTTAAAAAATGTAGTAAATTCAATTAATCATTTTTTTTTCAGTGTGGATTATGGACTCATATTTAACTCATAAATTCATAAAGTCTTAATCTTGTTTTTTTTACAAACACTCAGCTTTTCTAATTGGATCAGATTATTGAATATATTAAAACATTTAAACTGATTCACAGAAATGAATTTATCAATGGCATTTTTGTAAATTAGGTGTTATGTTAGAGATACTTTTATTAATATTTTGAATCTGTTTTTATTTTTCTTAAAGTTTTAGCAATTTTGTTGTGTGTTTTTTGTAATTTTTTGTAGGTTTTTTTATGCGTCTATATAGTTTTTATTAATTTTTATTTCATTTTTTAGGTACATCAAGATAAATTAAATTAAAATCAGAAATGTTACCTTGGCTGAAATATATGTGTATGTATGTATGTTTTTTTGTTTTTTTTTCAAGTAACAATTTTTATTAATGTTTTTACTTTCAGTTTCAGTTTGTTAATGATAATAACCCTATAACAGACACTATTAAAACTCCCTTAATCCCTTAGTCCGAGAGGAATATTTTGAAATTAGTCTAATGAAATTTTCTTGAATGGGGAAAAAAAGAATAATCATCATACATAATATAAAGTTTATTTTTATATCACCAGCAAAGTCATTGTAAATATATCATAAATATTAAGGTATATCTGTAAACATGGTATAGTTCATCTCTCAGGTGGACATAAACTGTTTGTGATGGTCTCTCGTTCTGTCTCTCTCTCCTTTCAGAACGACACGTGGGGTCAGCAGTATTCTTACGCTCTCTTCAAGGCCATGAGCCACATGCTGTGTATTGGATATGGCATGTACCCACCTGTCGGCATGACAGACGTGTGGCTGACCATCCTCAGCATGATCGTGGGTGCGACCTGCTACGCCATGTTTGTCGGCCACGCCACGGCGCTGATCCAGTCGCTGGACTCCTCGCGCAGGCAATATCAGGAAAAGGTGAGTGACGTCCAGTTGGTTAACATAATAAATAAATGGCAGAAGCGGCAGGGAAAGCTTCCTGCGAAGGTGCTGCATTATGTGTTTGTCATCTGTTGTTGTGGTGACCAGACCGCAGGGACTCTTGTGTATCAAAACGATGTGTGAATTATGGGTGAAGTGTGTTATTCCGCATCTGTTGTGGTGCAAAAATAAGGGCAAAAATAACTAGAATTTAATCATTTTAATGGTGATTACCCATGGTGTTTACAAAAGTAAGTGATTTCCAGGGTGTTGCTAGGTGGTTTGTTTGTAGTGACACCAAAATTAATTCATGAAGATAATGCTAGGGTGTTTTCTAGGGTTTTGCTGGGTGATTGCTATATAGTGACACAAACATGAATTGCCAAAATAACTGGATTTAAAAATATTAATGGTGTCTGCCCATGCAGAAGTCACAACCGTGATATTAGGGCGTTGTGGGGGTTTCCAGTGTGTTGCTAGGTGGTTGCTAGGGTGTTTTGGGTGGTTTCCAGGGTGTTGCTAGGTAGTGGCACCAAAGGGAATTGTAAAAATAACTCGATTTTTAAAAAATGCTAATGGTGTTTGCCCATGCAATAGTCAAAACCACAAATTCTAGGGTGTTGTGACTGGTTTCAAGGGTGTAGCTACTGTATGTGGTTGCTAGGGTCTTGTGGGTTGTTTTACAGGGTGTTGCTAGGTAGTAGTTATAATAAAAATAACTAGATTTTGCCTATGTTAATGGTTTACGCCCATGCAAAATTTGCAACCTTGATACTAGGGTGTAGTGTGTGGTTTCCAGGGTGTTGCTAGGTGGTTACTATGTTGGGTGGTTTCCAGGGTGTTGCTAGGTAGTGGCACCAAAGGGAATTGTAAAAATAACTCGATTTTTAAAAAATGCTAATGGTGTTTGCCCATGCAATAGTCAAAACCACAAATTCTAGGGTGTTGTGACTGGTTTCAAGGGTGTAGCTACTGTATGTGGTTGCTAGGGTCTTGTGGGTTGTTTTACAGGGTGTTGCTAGGTAGTAGTTATAATAAAAAATAACTAGATTTTGCCTATGTTAATGGTTTACGCCCATGCAAAATTTGCAACCTTGATACTAGGGTGTAGTGTGTGGTTTCCAGGGTGTTGCTAGGTGGTTACTATGTAGTGGCACCAAAGTGATTAAAATGTTAATGGTGTTTGTCCATGCAAAAATCACTACAGGTACTACAATACTAGTGTGTTCTGGGTGATTGCAGGCAGACCCTTCCATTGTTTCGTAAGCATCACAGTGTTTCACTCTTCAGGAAGTCAAACTATCATTGACTGAATTACAGTGACACTAAACATTAAACTGACACACCAGAAACTGTCTGAACATCTAAGCACACACCAAACACAGTAGCTCTTGATATCACAACAGGATATAGAATAAAAACTACAGGCTCAATTAGAGAATGAACCAGCCAAACTTTGAAACTGTGAGGGTAAAACAGGATATTCCTGAAGCTTGGAAGTAAGAAAATCTGTGAAGGAAGAAAGTCAATTATGTAGAATTTGAGTGTGTGGAGAAAACACAGTCCAGCTGGATGACAGCGTGACACTTCTAAACTCATCTCAGCACACTAACATGATTACCACAGTTCCTGCCGGCTACTTTAATTCACAATAATGCACTTATAACGGCCCATAAACAACCGACTCGAGAGTGCAGATATTAATATTCACTCGCAGGGAGTTTTAGCTCTGATGATTGAAATTAAATTCAGAAGGGCTTTTTGAAACAACCCCAAGTATTAAACTTGAGGATGTGCGTCATCATGCAGCGTTTGTGCAACAGACTTCAGAAAATTGAGTTGTTTTTGTAGTTGCACTTCTGTAGTTTCCTATCCAGCCTGGGATGAGTTACTGACCTCACCTCACTCGTGGTCAGCAGGCAGTATACGGTGTGCCAGGTGGGTCCCTCATGCCCACTGCATGGGACGACCTCAGTCCCTTCCCCGATGCCCACCTCAACATGGGCACAACGCCACATGGTGCACCATCTGTTGAGAGACTGAGGGATGGAAAAAGTGAGAATCATAGAGATGGAGAACATATAAAGAGGGAACGAGAAGATCAAAAGGAAGATGCAGGAGTTTTACAGACGCTCCAGATTGTCCGAGTTACAGATACAACAGATATAGCAGTAGCATAAGAAACTAGAAGAAAATGCCAATGGTTTTTGTCTATGCTTCATTCATTGCCAGGGTTTTATGGATGGTTACTAGGGCATATCTAAGTGGTTGCAAAGATCTGAGAGTAGTTGCTACTGTCTGTATCACAGTAGTAAAATGAAATTTCGGTGGAAATAGTGGAAACCAGTCATAAAATGGAATTTACTTTATAATGCAGATTTTTAAGGAAATTGGCAAAATTGTGATGAATAAATCAAAAGTAGGTCTGTACATTGTGCATCATGGTGATATGGACAAGTGTCTATAAATATTAAAGTGCAAAATGACTGCCACTGAAATATGAAGCCTGCATGCTCTGTGTGTCTCTTTGTGAATGATCAGCATCATTTTTATTTTGATAAATGCTGTCGTCAGATATACAGGAACTCAAAGCTCTTCAATACAGCCTGCCAAAAATAAAAGTTCAGTTTAACTTGAAGAAATTGTGACAGAAATATATTATATTATACAGTATTATGTACTTTTTAAAGTAACAACAACAACAATAATAATACAGTATATTAAAACATTATTTTTAAGGAATAATGGTTTTAATTTAAACTCTAAGCCTCTATTGTGCAGTCTAACATTTTTTATTTCATTTTATTACATTTAAAAATAAAAATAAAACATATTTCATTGGGAACTATTATTGTTCAAATTTTAATAAATTATTACATTTTTAATTTGTTAATTTGACTAATTGTTTTATTGTTTATATATAATTTTGATTGATTGATGATTGTTAACATTTAATTAAATGGAAACACAGAATGGGGGGGGGGGGGGGGGGTTTGTAGTGTTTTTTGTTTGTTAGTTTGTAGTTTTTATCTTGCCATGTTGTGGGTGGTTGTGAGGGAATTACTGTGAAGTTGATGCAGTGGTTAGTTGGTTACTATGTGGTTGCTAGGTGTTTTCTTCCTGTTTGTTAAGAGTCCTTGCATCCTTGTGTTTAAGTGATCTTCTGATCTGTATGATAATGTGGCTTTGATGTGCGTCTGTGGTTTTTTTTTTTTTTTTTTACTATTTTATGGTCCAGCAGGTCAAAAATGTATGCAATAATAAATATGTGAGATAGTAATGGTAAATTACAGACAAAGGCACGTAAAGAGTGAGCTGGGGCACTCCTAGAGAGAGAAAGCATTGAGAATTACATCAACTTATTGACTGTTTCAGGAAATAGTTTTTGTGTCATAAGGGTAAATACTGTAACTGAGGAGGTGACCAGTGATTTTGAAACCGTAGCATGCTGCATTTATATATAAAATCTTACATTTGAAGTAGGGGTGTCGCCAGAATTATATATATACATGTATAATTCTTTTCAGACACCAGTTGCTTGTCACATTCAAATTGGTTGTCATAGTAACGACACTAATTTGTGGAGATTCAGTGCATTGAGTTCCACAAATCTGAATGCATTATTTGTAAATTGACTGTTAAGATAAACATTTTGCACAATTTAGTATCTGTAATATCATTGTGTTGCCACTAGATGCCTGTATAGCCCTATGTAACAATCCCTAGTGGCTAAGACATTGCACATAATTTACACATAAATTAATTTTATTACATTTTGATTTGGATACTATATACTATACTACTACATATTGTTTAGATATTATCAGTGGCTACTTGTTTGTCTTTATCTGTTTTTTGTTAAATTTTTTTGTTGTTGTTTCTTGAAACATTGATTTAAAGTGTCAGTTATTGCATTATTATTTCAGTCAAACCTATAAAACCCCTTTGTTACCTTAAACTACATATAAAAGATTTATCAGTGGCATACTGATCTAATGGCGTTGTTGAGCGCTCCAAATGCAAACTTTGCATTCAACAATCTGGCAGCAATTGACAGTGCTCTGATCTAGTGACATACAGGCATCGTCAGATTGACAGTACTCTAGCCCAAATAATGTTGGGGGATCCAGTGGGGGCAGTCATATTTCAGGGTGACCGTGCCACTCTTTATCACAACCCTGCTAAAAGTGCCAGTACATGCACTCATTGGCGCCCCTTCAGCTTGTGGCGCCCTAGGCGACCGCCTATCTCGCCTATGCCTAGAAACGGCCCTGGGTGTCGCAAAAAAAATTTCTTTCTAGATTTCCATAGATATCAGGATATCATTATTGTGATCTCTTTTGGCCACGATAATCGTGTAGGGAAAATCAGAGGAGACACACACATGCGATTACTGGAGTCTTTTTTCTCAGGAGAAACATCTGAGAAGCAGAACACTTCAATAAAAGTCTAAATTTGCACTCCATTTCATCTCGGTTCAGTCTGAGACGTTAAACAGATCTGGTTTGTGATTTTTCTCATCCTGGCAGGCACAAGCATGTGAGGAAGGCCAGTAAGTCATTCAGAGCTGTGCGTTTACACCCTGACTGGAATAAGAAAGCAGACGAGATGCATTTTCAACATCTCCAGGCACTGAATGAATAAGGGCACTATGTATTTCTGCTGACTGTAATCTAAACACTGACACAAATACCTGTCTGGCACCACAGGGCAAACAGATCTCAAGCTATTTCTTCTAAAATCTCTCTCCTCCGATCCTGTTCTTATATTATAAATTCACCGGAGTGGTGGGAATTGAGCATTTGGCTTATGGTTCGGTTTGTCTGATACTTCATTGTGAATCTTTAATGCCTGCAGCTTATGTATTTACTGCAGGAGCGGCGCAGCACGGCTTATTCAAACCGTTTTGGGAGATTGTGAGATTTCTTGATTTGAAGATGATGTAAAATCACAGAGGGCAGAGAGAGATCTGTCAACACTTTAGTTAGTTCTTCTAG